CATTAGATAAAAAACGATGTAAATGTTGGAATTGCAATGAAGAAGGTCATATTAGCACTGAATGCCCAAAAAAGAAAGTTAGAATATTAATTACGGACTTTGAACAAATTAGAGATGAATGTGAAGAAGTTGATATTGAAGAAATAGAAGTAAATGAAGAAATATTTGAAGAAAAATCAGATTTAGAAGAAACGTCTAGTGACGATGAATAAAAACAAGAATAAAACTAATTTCGAAAAAATTATAAGGATTGAGGACTTGATCTGCAATTAATGACCCATTTCATTAAGGGTAAAACTGACTTTTTAACAAAAAACTTGAAAAATCACTATTCATAGGTCATTTTGCAAAATGTCCCCAAAACAAACCCTAATTTGTGTACTCTTTCGAGGAAAGTCGCCACTTCTATACGCGTCTGCGAGTACTCTTCCAGGTACGGCCCGCAACCGTAACCTCCCATTTTCTTAATCTATAACTACGTATTTGTAGCCGTATTATTTTCTTGTACGCCGTTTGTGTAATATGTTTGTTAGGACTTAGGATTTGACATTGGGTTTCCGAGTTTAATTTTCATTACAGGATTGAACTTCAGCGTTGCCTTTTTGAATCGATGAAGATCTGATTATTTTGGTGAGTATTTTTGAAGATTATTTTTAAATTTTGTGTTTTTTTGTATTTTTTTCGGATTAAATTGTATTTTAGTTGGATAATCTGTTCTTTATGTTTTATATATGTGAAATATTTTTTTTTTAGTGAAGTTTTTTTAAGATTTTAGGGTGGGTTTTGTTGTTAGTTATTATTATTCTTTTACACGTCCTTTGAATTGGATTTGATTAAAAAATTTCAGTTCTTGTGGTTTTAGTTTGTTTTTGTTTTCTGGGTGGATTCAATAGATACTGGTGTAAGTTTTTTGAGCTATTATCGAAGTTGGAGTTTAGTTTCAGCTGTAAACTTTATTGATTTAGGGTTCTTGGGCTTGGATGGGTTATATATTTATAGAAGGAACAATTTTGACGAAAGGAAAAGGATTCTCTTCAGATTTTGCACTTCTTGATTGGAAAAGAAGGGAAATTCAAAACTTTTGGACTGAAATTTGTGAAATTCGAAGCTTGGAAAAATCAAAAGTTTTGGGCTGCGGTAGTTCATTATCTTCTATAAAATTCAAATTGTCAGCAATTTCAGATTTTTAAAATAGCTTAACCTATTCATCTATTATTTACCAGTTTGACAATGATTATAGATCTTACTGTATCTTGTTAATATAACTGGAAAAACCTGATGCCATTAGTTGTAGAATGTAGTGTCTTTGAATTAATTTTCTTTTCATTAGACTTAATCAGAACATCTTTTTGTTAAGCTTCCAAGCACTTTCCTTGAGATAAGATTCTCGAATAGTTTGAAATGCTTGGTCGAAAAGTTTCCTTGCCCCTACCAGCCTACCTCATATGAATATGTTTAGCTGTGTGATGCACACTTTTGTTTCTTAAACTTAACGTGGTTGTCTTTCATATGTTGTTTCAGATTTTGTATTCAATGAGTCGTCCACAGGATCCCCACAGGCCTTTTCTCCCGTTTGGAAATCCCTTCCGAATGCTAGTACCTAAGGGCTCTTATCTGTGTCCAAAGCTTCTCGCTCTGTTGAATACTTTTGAGGAGACATTGGCAGAGAGGCTTAAAAAGCTCAAGCCAAGAGACAGGAAAGATGTCCTAAGCTTATCGTGGATGAGATTTGCCCTTGAGTCCCTTTGTGGAATTCATACTGATATGAAGACATTTATCACAGCGCTTGAACTGCCTGCCTGTGACTGGGATGACAAGTGGATTGATGTATACTTAGATAATAGTGTGAAGTTGCTGGATATTTGCATTGCTTTCACCTCCGAGATCTCTCGGCTCAACCAAGGCTGCCTTTTTCTTCAATGTGCTTTGCATAACTTGTGCGATGACTCAAATAAGTCTGTGCGGGCGCTCTCATCACTGGATGGGTGGAGGCAGCATATTAGCTCAAAGAACCCAAGACTTGAGAATTGTTTTTCCATCATGGATGGTCTTGCCCAAACGTTAGACCTACCGAAGATCAAGAGCTCTGCAAAGGCAAAGATTTTGATGCGAGCTATATATGCAGTCAAAGTGGTAACGGTTTACATATGCAGTATATTCGCTGCAGCATTCTCAGGTTCAACAAAGAAGTTGATGGACCTACAGGTTCCAGACACATGCTTGTGGGCAGAGGCTTTTGCTTGTCTGCAGACTTTTGTAAATCCTGAAATAAGAAGCATATCCTCGAGAGGAAGGGTCACTGTGCTGAAAGAGCTCGAAGCCGTCGATGCAAGTTTGAAAAAATTATACCCCATTGTACAAAATGAGGTCTGGCCTATTGAAGCTGAGATGTTGCAGAACCCGATATCTGATTTAGTCAAGTCGGAAGAGAAACTTTCACACGGACTAGATCTACTTTCAAATGAAGTTGATAATTTCATCAAAATTGTTCTAACAGGACGGGATGCTTTGCTTGGTAACCTTAGAATTGGTGGTAATGCGTCTGACTCAGTAAAACTAAAAAAGTAGAAGGCCAGGCTCTGAGGTGAATAGTTAATATTGGCTCTCTTGTAAACTCAAGTGTGCAGCTATGGACTTTCACATTTTCAGGTTATAGATATGCTAAATGTTGAGATATGTAGCTTTAGTTACCATGAATCTTTTGAGTTGTGGTTCATCAATTTTAGTGTCGCTCTATGTATGAATTCTTTGATTACGATTACTATATATATATCAATGTATCACTTGTGCTGATGATTTCTTTCTCGCCTTCACTCTCTCACTTCAACTCATGATTGCATTTGCCTTATTATCTTCGTATTTCCACCGTTCTGTGCTTTATAGCCACGTTTATGGGTATATGTATTTGCGCAAGGACTCTGCAGTATGTTGTATAGAGAATGAAACTGCGATGTATTTATGAAATGGCATTTGCATTCACCAGATGTGAATGGCAACCTACTTGGGATTTAATTCATAGAGCTTAATTGCATTTGGCACAGCCGCACAAAGTTGGCAGAATGCATGGGTTGAATTGAAAGCAGCCAACTCTGACTTGATAGAATGGTTAGGCAAGTAATTTAATGTGATGAGTTAAGAAAGGGGCCATTCAGGGTTCATTAGACTTGGCTTCAATTGGTCGAAAATGATGGTTCAATTCATAAACTTTGTGGGGTAGGACGGGTTAGGTTTCCTCGGTACCGTATTTTTTCTCGATTTACATTTGTAGTACAATATTGTCAAATTCCTCATATTTGCTAGCTGTTTTTGAGTATGATCTCACACGATAGAGAGCACTACAAAATAAAAGCTTTACAAACCATGGAAAAATTGCGAAAAAATGTGACATATTTCATTGGAAGATGTGAGCTGACTTGATCAACTATTATACAATATAACTTAAGTCCATGGTTGGCTCCCATTTTCTAAAATTCTTTTGAATTCGTAACTCTAATTTTTTAACTATGCATTCTCGAAAAAGAATCAATTTTCACAAAACATATTCTCAACCATATATGTGACATAATAGTGCATCTTGGGTTAGGCCACCAAGCAATTTTGTGGAAGTGATGACTGCAATATATCATTACAATATAAAAGAGACAAAAACATGGCCGCCACGTGTCGCAATTTCCCACCGTCGTAAATGCTTTTTTTTTTCTTCACGCAACTCATCTCATCTTCCATTTTCACAAGCATTTCCCCCATTTGTTAACGCCATTTACCTTCATAGAATTCCAATTTCCATCTCCATTTCGATTCCGCATCCGATTTCAAAACCCCACAAAAAATCGATTCTTCGTCGCCGTTCCTTCATGTAATATTTGGTGAGTACAATTCCAATTTCTCTGGAAACTTCGATTTCGATTTTGTTCCAATTTTAATTTCTTGTTAACTTTACTGATGTGTTTTTCTTTTATGTAATAGTTTAAAATGGTCATGCAGAGCTGCAATGGGTGTAGGATACCCAAGTTGAGCAACAAATGTGGGTTGTGCCGTGTGTAATACCATCACTTCTTTGCCTAGGTAAATTTGAATTCGAAATTTCAACGAAGCTATAATTTGTTTGGGTGTCCCTTGGAAAATGTTGAATTCTTTTGTTTTAAATCAAATATCATATAATTTGTTTGAGTTTGATACCTTGATCTGAGCATTGGACGTTCCAATGTTTTATATGTGACTTAAATCTCCCTCATCTCAGTAATGAAAATGTCCCAACTGATATGTGGAGGTTACTGTACACCCATGATGCTAATTGTTGTCTATCATTGATTGATAAAACTCATCATTACGTTTGTAATAAATATGTCGATCTTTGGTAATCATGTACGCTTAATTGATGATCGATTCTTAAAACTCACCGTGATAAAATGCTGGGAAGAGAAAAAAAAAATTTCTTTGTGTTCACATGGAGACACGGCCTTGTGTCTTCGTGCCACATGCACGGAGACATTTTTTTTTTTTTTTGAACAGTGATATACATTTTCTAAAATTGTCCCAAAACAATTAGGTTGTTGAGAGAGAGAGAAAATAAAATGGGTCAATTGAAGATGGTGTGTAGACTTTTTTTCTCTTTCTTTTTTTTTAATTGAATTATGTTATAACTATAAATTATTGCAATGTGCTAATTGAAAACATAACTTCATTCCATACACCAAAATTAGAATTCCTTTCGAGGGCGTTGCCCCCAAGCCCCCCACGAGAGGCGCTGCCGAGCGACCTGACCGGTTAGGTCGATCACCGTCAGGGGCAACACCCCCGAACCCCACGAGGGGCGCTGTGGATATCGGAACACAAAGTTATGATAAAAACACTGAAAGAAGGTGCAGCTGCCTGTTTAAAACAAGAAATTCCGTTACATAGTCCGTTAAAACAACAAATTCCGTTAGTTTTTCCGTTAAAAATAAGAAATTCCGTTATATAGCCACTTTTATTATATAGAAGATATGTATTTGCGCAAGGACTCTGCAGTATGTTTTATAGAGAATGAAACTGTGATGTATTTATGAAATGGCATTTGCATTCACCAGATGTGAATGGCAACCTACTTGGGATTAAATTCATAAAGCTTAATTGCAATTGGCACAGCCGCACAAAGTTGGCAGAATGCATGGGTTGAATTGAAAGCAGCCAACTCTGACTTGATAGAATGGTTAGGCGAGTAATTTAATGTGATGAGTTAAGAAAGGGGCCATTCAGGGTTTATTAGTAAACTTTGTGGGGTGCTTCCTAGGACGGGTTAGATTTCCTCAGGACCGTATTTTTTCTCGATTTACATTTGTAGTACAATATTGTTAAATTCCTCATATTTACTAGCTGTTTTTGGGTATGATCTCACAAGATCGAGAGTACACTACAAAACAAAAGTGACTCGATCATCTTTTAAAGCTTTACCACCATGGAAAAATTGCAAAAAAATGTGACATATTTCATTGGAAGATGTGAGCTGACTTGATCAACTATTATACAATATAACTTATGTCCATGGTTGGCTCCCATTTTCTAAAACTCTTTTGAATTAGTAACTCTAATTTTTTAACTATACATTCTCGAAAAGAATCAATTTTCACAAAACCTATTCTCAACCGTATATGTGACATAATAGTGCATCTTGGGTTAGGCCACCTAGCAATTTTTATGGAAGTGATGACTGCAATATATCACTACAATATAAAAGAGGAAAAACCTTGGCCGCCACGTGTTGCAATTTCCCATCGTCGTAAATGCCTTTTTTTTTTTCCACGCATCTCTTGCCCCTCTTTACGCAACCCATCCCATCCCATCTTCCATTTTCACACGCATTCCCCCCTTCATCTCCTCCTCATCTTCACGCAATCCATCACATCTTCTAATTTCAAAAGCATTTCCCCCCTTTATTAGCACCATTTACCTTTATAGAATTCCAATTTCCATCCCGATTTCGATTCCGAATCCGATTTCAAAACCTCACAAAAAATCGATTCTTCATCGCCGTTCCTTCACGTAATATTTGGTGAGTACAATTCCAATATATCTGGAAATTTCAATTTCGATTTCGTTCCAATTTTAATTTCTTGTTAATTTTACTGATGTGTTTTTCTTTTTATCTAATAGTTTAAAATGGGTGTAAGGTACCCAAGTGGAGCAACAAATGTGTGTTGCGCCGTGTGTAATACCATCACTTCTTTGCCCACGTAAATTTGAATTCGAAATTTCAGCGAAGCTATAATTTGTTTGGGTGTCCCTGGGAAAATGTTGAATTCTTTTGTTTTAAATTAAATATCATATAATTTGTTTGAGTTTGATAGCTTGATCTGAGCATTGGACGTTCCAATGTCTTATATGTGACTTAAATCTCCCTCCTCTCAGTAATGGAAATGTCCCAACTGATATGTGGAGATTGCGTACACCCATGATGCTAATTGATTGTTAAAACTCGCCATTATATTTGTAAGATCGATTCTTAAAATTCACCGTGATAAAATGTTGGGAGCAGAAAAAAAATTCTCCGTGCGCACACGGAGACACTTTCTCTTGCCTCGTGCACAGCACGGAAACCCATTCTTGTGTATTCGCACGCGGCTCGAAGACACGGCCTTGTGTCTTCGTGCCACACGCACGGAGACATGGCCTTGTGTCTCCGTGCCACACTCACAGAGACATTTTTTTTTTTTTAACAATGAGATACATTTTCTAAAATTGTCCCAAAACAATTAGGTTGTGGAGATAGAAAAGAAATAAGATGGGTCAATTGAAGATGGTGTGTGGACTTTTTTTTTTCCTCTTTCTTTTGTCAATTGGATTATGTTATAACTGCAAATTGTTGCAATGTGCTAATTGAAAACATTTCATTCCATACACCAAAATTAGAACTCATTTTGGGAGCGTTGCATTGTTGCAATGTGCTAATTGAAAACACAATTTCATTCCATACACCAACATTTGAATTCCTTTTGGGGGCATTGCCTCCGAGCCCCCACTAGGGGCGCTGCCCCCTTGACACTCACGACTTGATCGGTTAGACCCCACGAGGGGCCCTGTCCCTCAACCTCCACGACCTGACCGGTCAAGTCCCCTCGGGGTGTTGCCCCCCGAACCCCATGTGTGCTTTAATGTCATTCTACTAATAATAGTTAATGTCATTCTTTCTATTACACATTCACTAGTGAGCTGATATTCATCTGTTTTGGTGTTTTTGTCAATCTGCAAAAGTTCCTCAAATACAAATTTTCATGTTCTCAAATACATATTCATTGGTGAGCTAATAGTTAATGTTGTTTTCCTTTGACTCAGTGAACAATTTTGTCAGATTAGATTAATGTTGCATGTAATGTGTTGAGAGTTCTCAAATATAATTTTTCCTATTTTCAAAGTTAAATCAAGATACTATATATATTTTTAAACATTAACCATGTGAACGGATTGCATTGATAAGTATCTTCAAATTGGTTTCTATTTGTATGTTAGAGTTTGTATATATGATTTGTATGTCGATGCTTATTCTTTATTTTATTACACACTTATTTTTAATATTATCCAATTAACGTGCA